CAGGGGTGTGGGACTAGGGTGTCAGGGGTGTTGGACTAGGGGTGTCAGGGGTGTGGGACTAGGGTGTGGGACTAGGGGTGTCAGGGGTGTGGGACTAGGGTGTCAGGGATTGTGGCCAACTGGTGTAGGAGAAGAATTTATTTTTAATTGAGAGAGCACCTCACATCATCACATGCTGAAAATGTGGATGAAACAAATTTTTGGGGGTGTGAAAGGTCCAGGAATTTTTATCCAAGCCAATCAGTAATAGTGTTCAAAGCCAATCAGTTATAGCGTTGAAATGGCACACTTAAAGGGACAGATGCACCATTTTGGGGGCTTGATTTGAGTCTTAAATATATATAAATAGCTTGTACTAGAAATATACGAAAATCACATAATTCCTTTAAAGATATCTCAAACTAGGAATTTTACTCACTATTTCTATATATGTCTTTACTATATATATCATGGCATAGAGTCATCATTTTAACATTTTAACGCAGATAATTCTCGACAAGCATATTGAAAATAGGGCTGCAACGATTCACCGATGAACCGTGATTCTTTCCTTCTTATTGATGCATTGCGTTGGATAAAAATAATCTTAATGTATGGACACAATTAATTCTTAGCCCCTTTTAATAACAAATGACACAGAATTCTTGTGTGTATAAAATACTAACTCATATTTTTTGTTGCTAGGTTACTATCAAAATGAACGAGATGTATTTAACGAAGAAGATGAAGAAGGGTTAGAAGAAGATGAAGTTATCAAACCTTTAACAAATGGCGTGGAAAATCCCGAATACTTCGATACGCCTCGACAAAACGGGTTAAGTGGCAGTGTATATAAACCCAATCCAAAACCTAGAAAAATTGACTATTATAACGACTTAAACCAAGTTTCACCGGTGGAAAAAAAACAATTGATCTTACGAGTGAACAGTAATGAAGGCGGCCATGAAACTAGTATATAGCCAAGGGTTATTCCCCTTTCATTAAAGTGAACGGTTCTGTTATATCTTCCTGCCAGCGAAATGAACGCAAAACATAAACATGGCTCATTACCAAATATGGCTAGCTAGTGATGTCACATGTGAAGGCCATAGTGTTATATTGAGTGATGCAATGAGTGACGTTACATGTCAAATTACTTGTGTTGTGCATCGTTAAGTACCAAATATGGCTTGCTAGTGATGCAGTGAGGAAGGCTCTGATGTTAAATTCTGTGTTGTGCATCGTTTATTAAACCAAATATGGATAGAGTGATGCATCGAGTGACATCACATGTGAAGACCCCAGTGTTATATATTGAGTGATGCAATGAGTGACGTCACATGTAAAAATACTTATGTTGAGCATCAATTAGCAGTACCAAATATGGATAGAGAGTGATGCATCGAGTGGCATCACATGTAAAGGCCATAGTGTTATATATATAGTGATGCAATGAGTGACATCACATGTAAAAATACTTATGTTGTGCATCGTTAAGTATCATACGTCACATGTGAATGTTCCAGTGTTAATTTCTGTGTTGTGCATCGTTTGTTTTACCAACACCAAATATGCAGTGAGGGATGCTCCGATGTTAAATTCTGTGTTGTGCATCGTTTATCAATACCAAATATGGATAGAGAGTGATGCATCAAGTGACATCACATGTGAAGGTCCCATTGTTAAAATACTTGTGTTATGCATCGTTGTGTACCAAATATGGCTAGTGCTGTCATATCTTCAGGTGTGGATGTTAAATTCTGTGTTGTGCATCATTTTTGAGTGGCTACGGTTTGTCATGTGACTTTGAAACGATTTTCAAAGTGAGGCAAGCTTTAGCATTATTGTGATAAATTTTGCTACCCACATGCGCGTCACTGGTATGCAGAGAAAGTTGAATTCTGGGTACTTCAAAATTTGAAGGGAGGAACTGGCATCTTTTTGTGACAAGCAGGCAAGGAATGTATAATTCTGGCAACGCTTGCCTATTACATTGTGATTATCTAAAGAATCAACGCAGGTGTGATATTTGAAAACGGAATGTTTGAGTCGAAGAAATCCAAAATTCTGTGTCATCTGAAAGAACTGGGTTTTAGATAAATAATGAAGACAGGTAACCCTTTGCAGTGTGTATTGAGGGAAATTTTGCCAGGACAGCAGCATTAGCCTGCTCTTTTTCAATTTCCAACTGTCGAGGGCAGAAGAAAAAAGCAACCATATTTGACAAGGATAACAACTTAGGTTCACAAGGATCCTTTCTACCAACTGGTCCTTGACCAAACCACTTGGTAATGATTTTACAAGGATAACAACTTAGGTTCACAAGGATCCTTTCTACCAACTGGTCTTTGGTCAAACCTCTTGGTATTGATTTTACAAGGATAACAACTTAGGTTCACAAGGATCCTTTCTACCAGCTGATCCTTGGTCAAACCTCTTGGTATTGATTTTTGTGCTAGTGGAACACAGTGACGTGCGATTCGGATATTTAATGACGGACAATATTCAATGGTGAAAAACATTATGAGAATCTCTGTTAATATCGCAACCAAAATAGTAATACAAGGCCACAAGGAGGGGAAATGGCTGATTGAATAGGGCTACTTTTGTTGTCCTAGCCTGACAAATTTGGCCCTTTCAGTTCCTCAGACGTGATGTAGGCCTACGGACGTGATTTCGGCTCAGATAATTAAAGGGATTGTAAAGAGGTTTTCTAAATTTTTTATGTGTATCAGGGACAGTGATAGCATCAATTTACACCATTCTAATTTTCAATCAGACGTCTATGGTTCCTGCAATTCCACTAAAACTAAGTGTTTGATGTGTTTCATATAAAACCTTTCCCAATTAGTGACGTCATTAAACACTTGGTTTAAGTGGAATTGCAGGAACCACAGACATCTGATTGAAAATTAGAATGGTGTAAATTGATGCTATCAGTGTCCCTGATACACATAAAATATTTAGAAAACCTTTTTACAATTTCTGAAGACTAAATATTGGAATGGTGTAAATTGATGCTATCAGTGTCCCTGATACACACAAAAATTTACAAAAAACATTTTTACAATCCCTTTAAATGTCTGTGATAAAATCACTATTGAATATCACCCTGAGGTATTGGGTAGGGACAGAGTTGTTAGGCTACTGTTGTCCATGTAGCTTTTTGTCTCGTGGATTCTTTTACATCCAGTCAGAAGTATTGGTCACCTTCGTGCACCACCCGACCCTTTTAGGTTTTGCAAAATTATTTTAATTTAAATGGAATCATGTGATAGTTTAAGGTAGCTTTTTATTGGTCACACATTATCCAATCAGAATCTGTTATTATAGTTTAAAGTAATTTGATTGGTTAGATCAAGTAAATCTATACTCTATGTTTTTTATTGGTCACAAATCATCCAATCAGAATCTGTTATTATAGTTTAGAGTAATTTGATTGGTTAGATCAAGTTAACTCTATGTTTTTTATTGGTCATGTTTTTTATTGGTTACAAATCATCCAATCAGAATCTGTTATTTTAGTTTAGAGTAATATGATTGGTAAGATCAAATTAATTCAATGTTTTTTATTGGTTACAAATCATCCAATCAGAATCTGTTATTTTAGTTTAGAGTAATATGATTGGTTAGATCAAATTAATTCAATGTTTTTTATTGGTTACAAATCATCCAATCAGAATATGTTATTTTAGTTTAGAGCAATCTGATTGGTTGAATAAAAATTGAATTCATTGATCACAACTAATCCAATCAGATTCAGTTATTATAGATTAGAGCTTTCTGTTTGGTTGTAAAAAAAATCACCTCATTAAAAGCTTTTGATTGGTCACGAACCATCCAATCAGATTCAGTTATTATAGTTTAGAGAATTCTGATTGGTTGAATAAAAATTGAATTTATTGGTCACAAATTATCCAATCAGATTCAGTTATTATAGTTTACAGCAATCTGATTGGATAATAAAATTAACTCATTAAATGCTTTCTATTGGTCACAAACTGTCCAATCAGATTTAGTTATTATAATTTACAGCAATCTGATTGGATAAAAAAAAAATGAACTCATTAAATGCTTTCTATTGGTCACAAATAATCCAATCAGATTTAGTTTTTATAGTGTAGAGAATTCTGATTGGTTGAATTAGATTAACTCATTAAATGCTTTCTATTGGTCACAAACTGTCCAATCAGATTTAGTTATTATAATTTACAGCAATCTGATTGGATAAATAAAATTAACTCATTAAATGCTTTCTATTGGTCACAAATAATCCAATCAGATTTAGTTATTATAGTTTACAGCAATCTGATTGGATAAAAAAAATTTACTCAAGTTTTAATTTTATAGTCGCATTTTGTAAACTTCCATTCATGGTTTTCATTGTGCCAAATTTTGAGGATTTTAGAAAATTTGAAATCCATTTTGTTTTGCTCTTAATTTTGTGGATAGTGTATTGTGTGTTTCTAAACGCCCAGATTATAATTTGGTCGTATATTGTCGTCGCTCCTGTCCGTAAATCGGTCCATCCGTTAGTCCATCGGTCCACAATTGACTTGTGAAAGCAAGAGACAACAGTTTCCATCTGATTTAAATGAAATTTGGAATGATCATTTATATTATGATGAGTTCTTGGACAAGTACAAATTTGACGATCTTTCGATGAATGGTTCTTGAGTTATTGCCCTTGACTTATGAAAAACTCATCAAAATTTGTTTGTGAACACAATAGAGACAACAGTTTTCATCCGAATTAAATGAAATTTGGTGTGATCATTAATAGTGATGAGATCTTGAACAAGTTCAAATTTAGCGATCTTTCGATGAACGATTCTTGAGTTATTGCCCTTGATTTATGAAAAACTCATCAAAATTTGTTTTTGAACACAATAGAGACTACAGTTTTTATCTGATTTTAATGAAATTTGACATGATCATTTATATTAATGAGATCTTGTACAAGTGCAAATTTGACGATCTTTCCATGAACAGTTTTGAGTTATTGCCCTTGACTTAGTAAAAACGCATCAAAAATCTTTCGATGAACAGTTTTGAGTTATTGCCCTTGACTTAGTAAAAACGCATCAAAAATTTGTTGGCTTGTTAACGCGATAGAGGTGACAGTTTATGTCAGAATATGTGTTTGTTTAAATCAATAATATCTTGTACAAATTAGATTTTTGGTATGATTTGACACAGATAGGTGACCTCCCTTGATATACTGAAAATGTATCAGGAAAGTGGGTGTATCTTGCTAGACAACCACTTGTTGTAAATTTTAGATGTAGAATGATATGGTTAGACCAATATTGTGGACAAGCTGATAGGATCGCTCTCGTGGGGATCTTCAATTTGTACCCAACATATACATTTCTTCGAAAACTCAACAAAGATTTTAAGAAATACAGTAATCTGATTGGATAATAAAACTGAATTCAAAATGAATTTTAGTGATTGACCAATCAGATGACTGAAACACTAAAATCACCTTAAATTTGGAAATACTGTAATCTGATTGGATAATAAACAAATTTAAAATCAATTTTAGTGATTGACCAATCAGATGACTGGAACTCTAAAATCATCTTAAGTTATGAAATACTGTAATCTGATTGGATAATAAAGGTAAATTTAAAATCAAGTTCAGTGATTGACCAATCAGATGACTGGAATACTAAAATCATCTTAAGTTAAGAAATACTGTAATCTGATTGGATAATAAAACTGGATTTCAAATCATTTTGACCAATCAGATGTCTAAAATCATTTTAAGATAAGTAATACTGTAATTTGATTGGATAATAGAACTGAATTTAAAATCATTTTGACCAATCAGATGTCTAAAATCATTTTAAGTAAAGTAATACTGTAATTTGATTGGATAATAGAACTGAATTTAAAATCATTTTGACCAATCAGATGTCTAAAATCATCTTGAGTTTGAAAATTTTATAAAATGAGTTGAATTATATTATCTACA